GCGACGGTTTTATTTAGTTGGAGAATGTTATCTTCAATCCCTGAGATTCATTCTTCTGTTTGATCTACCCTGTTTTGAGACTTTCCACTGTATTTTGTAGTTCCCTGAATTGATTCTTCATTTCCAGGAGTTTGGTTAAACTTTTCTCCATTGTGTCTATTTCTTTAGTGAACTTTTGTTCTAGGTCCTGGAGGCTATTTGTGGTTTCTTTGTGTTGGTTATTGAGTCTGTTGCAGGTCGGTGAGTGTTCTTATGATCCACATACAAAATTCCTCTTCTGTCATTTTGGTTGCCTGATTTTCGTGGGTGTCCATTTCTAGGAGGCTGGTGCTCCTCTTTGGGGGTGTGTTTGCTGTTTGGTTCTTCATATTTCCTGAGTTTCTTTGCTGATTTCTTCCCATGTTGATCAGTTGTTGTTTCTTTCCTTTACGTTTTTGTTTGGGTATTCTCACACCTTGTGTAGTTTCTGAGCTGTTAGATGGTGTTTGTGGGTGAGATTAGACCACTACCTGTATAATGAGTCAGTGGGCACCGTGAAAAGGCTGTGCAGGATGCCGTCCCTGTCAGTAGGTGGCGCTTTCTTGGAGGAACAGACTATGCTGTTGATTTTGTGTCCGGTTATCAGCTCTTGTTCTGGGCAGAGCTTGGTTGAGTAAGCCTGCCCTCAGGCACCACCAATGCCGTTAGCAGGGGTCAAAGTTCTGTTCTCTGCTTCCAGGAAAAGTTGTCAGGGTGGGGCTGGAATGGTCCCGCTCAGCCAGAAAGTCTGCGTGTGGTGGTGGGGCTGACTGAGCCCCGCAGTCTGGAGTGGGCCTTGCTTCTTTCCACCCTCCCCAACTCTGCAGCTACTCCTCGGCCTCTGCCAGCAGGCCAGACCACACGCCACCAGGCCTCCCCGGAGCCAGAGGGGAGGTTCCCTGCGCAGGAACACCACCCGGGCTGGGCGTAAGTCCTCCTTTTGGGAGGAAGGTTTCCCTATATGACGCTGATCTGCCCCTGAAGGCACACACACCTTAGTAGGCTGTTCACGTATATCCCTTCTGTGCCCCAGGCAATGCTAGAAAGGTATTGTTTAAACCACCAAACAGCCCTAGTAGCCTTTTGGCGCCTTAATCTTTAAATCAGATTCTTAGATTTGGATAGACTAACTTTGTTACTTGTCAAGTAACACTTTGAGATTTGAATGTATTCATTTTGAGTTTCTAAAATGTATTGTGAATTTCTCAGAGCAGTATAGGAGAGATTTATGCTGTGAGCTTTGTTTCTGCTTAGTAATAACATATTTAATAGTTTATTTCTGCTATAATTAAAATGTCAAGAATGCCAAATGCTGCCATTTAATGGTTTGATAGCCTACCTCCTTTAAGAAAGAAGATGGTATCTTTGAGAGGAACATTCAGTTATTCCTTATGTTAAATAGGATGATAGATTCAAACTTTAAGGATTGACAAAATAGAATCTAATTTGTTTGGATACGTTTCAGACTGGAGAATGTTGTTAGCATTTACAAGTGGCAAAAGTAGTCTTTTCTTCTTTAGCGTCTTTTCAAGACAGGTGATAGCTATCTACAGTTCTCTTGGAATCTGTTGTCAAAGTAGCCTCCAGTCTACAAGGCAGGTACCCTTAGGTGTTATGGCTTAAATTGTCAGTTGTGGAAGGTAAGATGATATGAAAACTGAGGATAGCAGCAAAGTTGTCTCTCTTGGGAGTTATTTTGGCTGTCCTACATTGGATAGTTGACAACTCTGGCTTTAGCATGAAATATTTAATGTAACACTAGGAGAGGATATAGTTTTGACTAAAAGGAAGAGGTAGCAAGATTGGGAATCTGTAATTGTGGAGTCCATTGATTGTGAGGAGAAAATCTATTGGTAAAGGGATTAGCAAGTAATCCCAAATCTTGTCTGGGATTAACTACTCCCAGTAAGTATAGTGGCTGTTGACCCTACTGTCCCAGGTGCCCTGGATGATACTGCCATTTTAACCCTTTGCTTTCAAGGGCTTTACAACTGGTATTTGGGAAGATTTTTTTTAATGTAAGCATGAAAATCAAAGTGATTAATAGAATTTGCTTTTATATTATTTTTGTAAAGCACCATTTCTCCAGTTGTGGGGGGTGGTCTTGATTCTTGTGAGCATTCTGAGGTCAAAAATATTTTTAAATTCAGTCTGGGATGGAGTCAAGAAAGGCAAAGTTTCGGAGGAGGAATGGAAGGAACATCTAGGAAGCGTTTTCCTCTTTACAAGGGAATAATGTTGCTTTCAAAACAAGTCATGCCAGGCTGAAAATTGATTATGGAAAAGACTGCTTGTTAGCAAGTATATTTGTCTTAAGGGAATACAAATTATGGAATATACTCTAACATTTGGGCTTCAGAGCAAGAATTTTTAAATACATTTAATAGATATTTGAGGAGATTGTTCAGGAATAGTGTTCTGGGAGTGGGAATCATGGGTTTTGAATGTTAAACACAAAATGACAAGTGAAAAATCAAAGCCTAGACCTTAGGTCCTCATTCCCACACAGTTTCTCAAGATCACATGGGAGTACTACGAATACCTTGGCTTGTCTGTCCTGGGACTGCCACCTTCTCATCTTCTCATTCTTTTGAAGACCACTATTAACAGCTCTGACTCCACAGCCCTATTTTGTATAAGGTAATATTGATTATTCAGAATAGACAATACATTTTTAATTACCCAAGACTTCCTTTATTCTGCATCCATTTGCTGGTTGTTTTCAGTACAGGTATAACGGCAAAAAAGAAAGGGTAAATTTAGGCTTCAGTCAAGCATACCACTACAATATAATATTGGAATATTTTCCAGAAAGAGGTCAGTGCCATGCTCTATTACCTCACAAGTAATTAGTGCTACCTGTTGTACTCAAATGTATAGTATTTGAAATTTTGTGTAGATGAAAATTGCTCTACTCAGTTTTCATTAAAAGAAATTTATCAGCCTAATTTATCAGGCAGTTGCCTACACTTCTAAACAATAAGTGCAGTGTCTCTTCCTCACTCTGAATGATATAGACGGTATCTTATCTAATGCCAGGGTTATAAACCGGGAAATTACAGCATAAGCACAGACCTTTAAGTATTACATATTTGAAATCCTAAGCTAATTCAGATGAATCACAACTGATATATTGTGTACTATGCATAGAACAGGTGATGGGATGCGCTTTCAGGAAGACTCAATTCTAATAAAGCAATATTTAGTATTGAGACAGACACTTTTCTTTTTATTTTCAGGAATTCTGCCAAGTAAAACAAAAATTTGGCCAAGTAAATAAATCATATTTTTTAAGATGCATGCAAGCTTCCTGGCTATAGAATACATCTGAAGCATTCATTCAGTAGACCACATCTCGATCAGGGTGCTTTTGCCAGATGCCAGAGAGTCCCTGTCCTTGAGAGGCTTAGAATCTAGGCTGTGAACATAACTGAATGCGTTAGGCTACCTGTTCATTACTGCGTTTACCTAAACATGTTAGGATGCTGCTGGTGGAAATTGTAGAAACCAGCCTTTGGGCAGTTAAAGGGCCAAAGTGTGGTTTACCTTTGTTGTTAACTAAGAAATTGATGTTTCCAAATTGTGGTGTTGATCAGTGGCACTATTTCAAGTGTCACAACAGTAATGGCGATGTTTTTCCTCTTCACTTTATCCCTGGATAAAGGCCACTTGTCACTGCCTGTCATGTGTTAGCAGATACTGATATGTTGCCTTTAAGTAAAGCTTGAGTTCTATGCGTGTTCTGTAAATATATTTTGTAATTTTTCTTGAAATTGTGATTTTCATGACAATAATGAAAGTTTAATGTATGTAATGTGTCTACGCCATTTAAGGTTAACTGCCAAAATGTGATTTGGGACATTATACATTGTCGCTATTATGAACCTGTAAGCAATTGTTTGAGATGTTAGGTTTATCACCTGCTGCTGTATTTGTAAAACAAAAGACAAATGTTCTTTAAGAAAGAAATTATAATTAGGAATAGGCTATGATTGGATACTTGATATTTTTTAAGATTAAACTTGTTTGCTTTTTGTGTATTAGTAAAAACAAAAAACGCAAAAACTGAAAATCGTCTGAAATTAGAATTGCCACGCAGCCTTCTTTTGGCTTCACTTCGCCTGGGAATAAACTGATCCAGACGCTTTTACTTTCTGTCTAATATGCATCCTTGGAGGTTAGGTTGTGTTTCCTGAAGACAGGCATATACTGGCCTGTATTTTTCTTATCCATTCAGCCAGCCTATGTCTCTTGAGTGAGAGTTTAAGGCCATTTCAATTTATGGAGAGAACTGATACGGTAAGGTACATACTGTTCATATCCTGTTGTGTTGGATTTGTTGCTTCTGATTTCTGTCTTGAGCCATTGTATTAATCTGGCCTTTAATCTTTGGTTTGGTTGTTTTTATATTCATGAGTTTTTACTTATGGTGTTCTGTGTGTAACACTGTTTGGGGTAACTTCTTGTAGGCTGTTCTTGTTTGGTGATATTCTCTCAGACTTCGCTTGTGTGAGATGTCTTTATTTCTCTTTCATTATATGAAGGCTTAGTTGCAGGGAATATATTCTGCCTGGGCATTGTTTTGGTTTAGAAGAGTGAGATGGGGCCAGTCTCTCCTTGCTTGTAAAGTCTCATTAGAGAAGTCTGGTGGTTATTCGATTGGTTTCTTCTTGTATGTCACATGCTTCTTTCGTTTACAGTTTTTAGAAGTTTTGTTTAAGTCCATTATTTCTTTATTAATTTTCTGTTTGGAGGATCTGTCTCATGCCATCAGTGGGGTGTTGAAATCTCCGGTGATTATGGAGTGGCTATTAATCCATTTGCTTAGATCCAGTAAGGTTGGCTTTATGAAACTGGGTGCACCTAAGTTGGGTGTATATATATTTACAATTGTTCCCTCTGCTTGTTGAAGTGTGCCCTTCACCATTATATAATGACCCTCTTTTTCTTTCACTACTTTTGTTGGTTTAAAACTAAATCGTCTGAGGAGAGCTGCGCGCTGCTGGTGCTGCTGCTGCTGCTGCCGCCACTGCCGTCAGTCAGCCTGCGCCCGATTCTTCGTCGCCTCCTCCCTGGGACCGATCGCCACTTCTAGACCCTGCTGCGGGCTTGGATCTAACTGGGAAAATGTCGGATGAATTTGAGTTGGCAGATGCGCTACCCGAACACTCCCCTGCCAAAACTTCTGCTGTGAGCAATACAAAACCTGGCCAACCTCCTCAAGGCTGGCCAAGTTCCAACCCTTGGAATAACCCAAGTGCTCCACCTTCTGTGCCATCTGGACTCCCACCAAGTGCAACACCCTCCACTGTGCCTTTTGGACCAGCACCAACAGGAATGTATCCCTCTGTGCCTCCCAGCGGACCACCTCCAGGACCCCCAGCACCTTTTCCTCCTTCTGGACCATCATGCCCCCCACCTGGTGGTCCTTATCCAGCCCCAACTGTGCCAGGTCCTGGCCCCACAGGGCCATATCCTACACCAAATATGCCCTTCCCAGAGCTACGTAGACCATATGGTGCACCCACAGATCCAACTACAGCTGGTCCTTTAGGTCCATGGGGATCCATGTCTTCTGGACCTTGGGCACCAGGAATGGGAGGGCAGTATCCTACCCCTAATATGCCATATCCATCTCCAGGGCCATATCCCGCTCCACCTCCTCCCCAAGCACCAGGAGCAGCACCACTTGTTCCGTGGGGCACTGTTCCACCGGGAGCCTGGGGACCACCAGCACCATATCCTGCCCCTGCAGGATCATATCCCACACCAGGACTCTATCCTACTCCCAGTAATCCTTTCCAAGTGCCTTCAGGACCTTCTGGTGCTCCACCGATGCCTGGTGGCCCCCACTCTTACCATTAAGTTAACAATGGACGAAGAGATGACACTTTGCTTATTGAAGTACATATATATGCACATGAATGCATATATAAGAATTGCTGGTTTCACTATTCTTAGAGGGCATTCATGAAAGAACAACTCTTGCACCTCTCAGAGAAGATAACTGCCTCTTGTACTTGGATGTGTAGTACATCAGATGGATACAATCAGATGAAAACAGAAGTAAATCATTCAGATATGATTTTTATTTGTTTTTCATGGAAAGTTAAAGTGATTAAGTATACTGAATAGATCTTTGATTAACAATTTAAGTTATGAAACTACTTCAAAGTCTAAGAGTATGTGTTAGGATCTGCAACTTCATTGGCAAATTATTTCAAGTATTTTTCTATAGTCACTTCCCCCACCCCCCAAATTAACTTTGAAAATAATCACATTATAATCTAAACAAATGATGCCTCAACATTTTGAGCTGCTCTATCTATAGGACAAATAAACTTGGTTCCCTTGAGGTTTTATTTTGGATATAAATTTTAAGACTGTCAGTGATTGTCGGATTTTGAGTTCAGTAGCCAGCCAGTGTTCATTTATATCCTTGAGCTTTTGGCAAAAACTTCCTGGTTTTATTTTTAGCTGTATGGGTCATACAGCACTAAAATCTGCCATTTATGGAAACTGACTTTTTTTTTAATCCAGGCCAACATGCATGTAAAATTATATTCGTAGAGAATTGGTGATTTCATTGTATTGCTTTAGAATGATGGATTGTAAGATGTGCTTATTGTTTTGGGAAGACCTCAAGGAAGGAAATAATTCTCTCCTTTGTTCTGAATCTCAAACTAGATAAACCCCAGGAATTACTTTCTCAGAAAACCTGAGGCAGCTCTTCTGCCCAGACCATTCCCTTTAGCCACTTTAGCCACCCATCCCCACTTCCCAGTTCTTTAGACGGAGCATAGCCCTTGATTCCTCCCTGATATGGAAAACTGGCACACTCTATATGGGTCTGTCAAAAAGATACAGCAGTTCTGTTTAGAGAACCTTAAGTCATACATATGTGACTGTTCTCTTTGTGCAAGTGTGAATCAAAATATATATCTGTCTTTCATAGTCTGGTTAAGCTATGTCATTGTCTCCTGCATAGTTTCCTGGACCTATGTAAAGTGCTTATGGCTAACAGTTCAGTTCTATATTTGCTGACAGGTAAACGTGAGGCATTGAGTGCCATCTTTGAAAAAATTACCCTCTAGCTCTAACACTGAAAATAATAATAAATTGTAGATCTCTGCAGTTGAGTTTAAAGCAGTGTGACTGTGTTGCTAAGGTATTGTTTAAACCACCAAACAGCCCTAGTAGCCTTTTGGCGCCTTAATCTTTAAATCAGATTCTTAGATTTGGATAGACTAACTTTGTTACTTGTCAAGTAACACTTTGAGATTTGAATGTATTCATTTTGAGTTTCTAAAATGTATTGTGAATTTCTCAGAGCAGTATAGGAGAGATTTATGCTGTGAGCTTTGTTTCTGCTTAGTAATAACATATTTAATAGTTTATTTCTGCTATAATTAAAATGTCAAGAATGCCAAATGCTGCCATTTAATGGTTTGATAGCCTACCTCCTTTCAGAAAGAAGATGGTATCTTTGAGAGGAACATTCAGTTATTCCTTATGTTAAATAGGATGATAGATTCAAACTTTAAGGATTGACAAAATAGAATCTAATTTGTTTGGATACGTTTCAGACTGGAGAATGTTGTTAGCATTTACAAGTGGCAAAAGTAGTCTTTTCTTCTTTAGCGTCTTTTCAAGACAGGTGATAGCTATCTACAGTTCTCTTGGAATCTGTTGTCAAAGTAGCCTCCAGTCTACAAGGCAGGTACCCTTAGGTGTTATGGCTTAAATTGTCAGTTGTGGAAGGATAAGATGATATGAAAACTGAGATAGCAGCAAAGTTGTCTCTCTTGGGAGTTATTTTTGGCTGTCCTACATTGGGATAAGTTGACAACTCTGGCTTTAGATGAAATATTTAATGTAACACTAGAGAGGATATAGTTTTTGACTAAAAGAAGAGGTAGCAAGATTGGGAATCTGTAATTGTGGAGTCCATTGATTGTAGGAGAAAATCTATTGGTAAAGGATTTAGCAAGTAATCCCAAATCTTGTTTGGGATTACTACTCCCAGTAAGTATAGTGGCTGTTGACCCCTACTGTCCCAGGTGCCCTGGATGATACTGCCATTTTAACCCTTTGCTTTCAAGGGCTTTACAACTGGTATTTGGGAAGATTTTTTTTTAATGTAAGCATGAAAATCAAAGTGATTAATAGAATTTGCTTTTATATTATTTTTGTAAAGCACCATTTCTCCAGTTGTGGGGGGTGGGTCTTGATTCTTGTGAGCATTCTGAGTCAAAAATATTTTTAAATTCAGTCTGGATGGAGTCAAGAAAGGCAAAAGTTTCGGAGGAGGAATGGAAGGAACATCTAGGAAGGTTTTTTTCCTCTTTACAAGGGAATAATGTTGCTTTCAAAACAAGTCATGCCAGGCTGAAATTGATTTATGGAAAAGACTGCTTGTTAGCAAGTATATTTGGTCTTAAGGGAATACAAATTATGGAATATACTAACATTTGGGCTTCAGAGCAAGAATTTTTAAATACATTTAATAGATATTTGAGATGTGTTCAGGAATAGTGTTTCTGGAGTGGGAATCATGGGTTTTGAAATGTTAAACACAAAAATGACAGTGAAAAATCAAAGCCTAGACCTTAGGTCCTCATTCCCACACAGTTCTCAAGAATCACATGGAGTACTACGAATACCTTGGCTTGTCTGTCCTGGACTGCCACCTTCTCATCTTCTCATTCTTTTGAAGACACTATTAACAGCTCTGACTCCACAGCCCTATTTTGTATAAAGTAATATTGATTATTCAGGAATAGACAATACATTTTTAATTACCCAAGAACTTCCTTTATTCTGCATCCATTTGCTGGTTGTTTTCAGTACAGGTAGTAATGGCACAAATAAGAAAAGGGGTAAATTTTAGGCTTCAGTCAAGTCATACCACTACAATATAATATTGGAATATTTTCCAGAAAAGAGGTCAGTGCCCATGCTCTATTACCTCACAAGTAATTAGTGCTACCTGTTGTACTCAAATGTATAGTATTTGAAATTTTGTGTAGATGAAAATTGCTCTACTCAGAGTTTTCATTAAAAGAAATTTATCAGCCTAATTTATCAGGCAGTTGCCTACACTTCTAAACAATAAGTGCCAGTGTCTCTTTCCTCACTCTGAATGATATAGACCTATCTTTATCTAATGCCAGGGTTATAAACCGGGGAAATTAGACATAAGCACAGACCTTTAAGTATTAACATATTTGAAAATCCTAAGCCTAAATTCAGATGAATCACACTGATATATTGTTGTACTATGCATAGAAAGTGATGGATGGCTTTCAGGGAAGACTAATCTTAATAAAGCAATATTTAGTATTGAAGACAGACACTTTTCTTTTTATTTTCAGAATTCTGCCAAGTAAAACAAAAATTTGCCAATAAAATAATCAGTATTTTTTAAATGCCATGCAAGCTTCTGGCTATAGAATACATCTGAAGCATTCATTCAGTAGACACATCTGATCAGGTGCTTTGCCAGATGCCAGAGAGTCCCTGTCCTTGAGAGGCTTATAATCTAGGTGTGACATAACTGAATTCGTTAGTCTACCTGTTCATTACTGGTTTACCTACACATGTTAGGATTGCTGCTGGTGGAAATTGTAGAACCAGCCTTTGGGCATGTTAAAGGGCAAAGTGTGGTTTACCTTTTTTGTTAACTAAGAAATTGATGTTTTCCAAAATTGTGGTGTTGATCAGTGCAACTATTCAAGTGTACAAAGTAATGGGATGTTTTTCCTCTTCACTTTATCCCTGGATAAAGGCACTTTCACTGCCTGTCACTGGTTAGCAGATACTGATATGTTGCCTTTAAGTAAACTTGAGTTCTTATGCGTGTTCTGTAAATATATTTTGTAATTTTTTTCTTGAAATTGTGATTTTTCATTGACAATAATGACAAATTTAATGTATGTAATTGTCCTATGCATTTTAAGTTAAACTGCCTAAAATGTGATTTGGGACATATACATTTGTATTATGAACTGTAAGCAATCTGTTTGAGATGTTAGGTTTTATCACCTGCTGCTGTATTTGTAAACAAAGACAAATGTTGCTTTAAGAAGAAATTATAATTAGGAATAGGCTATGGATGTGATACTTGATATTTTTTAAGATAAACTTGTTTGCTTTTGTGTATTATAAAAAACAAAAAAACAGAAAAACTAAATCGTCTGAAATTAGAATTGCCACGCCAGCCTTCTTTTGGCTTCCACTTCCCTGGAATACTGATCTCCAACCTTTTACTTTTAGTCTATATGCATCCTTGGAGGTTAGATGTGTTTCCTGAAGACAGCATATACTTGGCCTGTATTTTTCTTATCCATTCAGCCAGCCTAGTGTCTCTTGAGCTGGAGAGTTTAAGGCCATTCACATTTATTGAGAGAACTGATAGGTAAGGACATTACTGTTCATTCTGTTGGTTGGATGTTGTTGCTCTGATTTCTGTCTTGAGCCCATTGGTATTATCTGCGGCCTTAATCCTTTGGGTTTTGGTTCGTTTTTATATTCATGAGTTTTTACTTATGGTGTTCGTGTGTGTAACACTGTTTGGGAGTAACTTCCTTGTAGGGGCTGTTCTTGTTTGCGTGATATTCTCTCAGACTTCGCTTGGCGTCCCCCCGCTGGGAGAATGGGTCTTTATTTTCTCTTTTCATATATGAAGGCTTAGTTTGCAGGTCAATAATTCTCGCTGGGCATTGTTTTGGTTTAGAAGAGTGAGAATGGGAGCCCAGTCTCTCCTTGCTTTGTAAAGTCTCATTAGGAAGTCTGGTGGTTATTCGAATTGGTTCTTCTTGTATGTCACATGGCTTCTTTCGTTTACAGTCTTTTAGAAGGGCGCTCTTTAGCTTGATATTTTGGTCAGGTCTGATGACTGGCATGTCGTGACATCGTCCTCTTTGGCATTGAAGTCTCCCAGGGGTCCTCTGAGGCTTCTTGAACTTGTATATCGAGCGTATTTTGAAGCAAGGCCTGCGAAATGTTCTGTATTATATTTTCAAATAGCTGTCCAACCCTGAGTGTTGTCTTCTTCCCCTTTCTGGTTAACCCT